AGGGAGCCCGATGCGGGACTCGATCCCGGGACTCCAGGATCATGACCTGAGCCGAAGGCAGTTGCTTAACCAACTGAGCCACCCAGGCGCCCCGGAAAAACATAATTTTCTATGTGTTATATTTTAAGGATACAAACAGGCCCTCCAGGTCTTGAAAATACATAATAAAAGGCATTAAAACCTATTTACTTATGTGTATTAGAAAACTCTGTCCCTTCGAGGTTACATAGCATGCCCCAAATTAATAATCAAATCTGGACTTGATTTCAGAGCTCTTGAGCCTGCCTTCCCTTCTACAAATACTTGACATCGTAATAATCATATTTGTTTCCTGGATCTTCTTTCTCGTAACTAAGAAATACTCGAAACCTTAAACGTCTTTTATACCTCACTTGAGTTGGTTTATTACATCCTTCCCAAAAGCTCTGGTGCTTATCTGATCTCCAGAAAGGAACGAGACTGCAGAAAGATTCAGACCATTGCATATTGTTGGGAATCTTGTTCACTGTCCAAGGACACCCAGCCAAATAAATTGGGAAGCAGGAGTTGAAATCCAGCTCACTCTACCCACCAAGCCATATAAGGGTGTGGCATGCACCTAAAGAGGGCACCATGTCTAATCTGCATAAGGGCACCTTATAGGCTCACACAGGCCCTGCAAAGACCCTGGAAGCTAAGAAGAAAGGTGAAGAGATGACTGCACATAAATATTTCAGATCCAATATCTACCAGAAATTAAAGTATAACCTATAAGGCTAATGATTAGGATGTTTATTAATTCAGTAAATTAGGACTGGGGGGCAGGGAGATGTCTTCTCTCAGCACCAAGGAATATAATTTTGTTTCAGGAGAAATGATTTAGGCTAAACATCAGCAACAGGTCCTACTTCACTATATGGGGTATGAGAATGTTACTCAGGAGCCTGTGAATATATAAGAAAATGACTCTACAGAAGGTGGGAGAAATAGAAAACTCCCGTGCCCTTTTACTTGATGATCTTGTTTCAAACACTTTCTAAACTCTTCTTGGAATAAAACACCGTGATGTTGCATATAGCACATTTTGAAAAATCCTTATACCATCACTGTGACAGATTCTGAAGAGTCTCCGAAGAAACACTTTTGAACATTAAGCTGTCAAGTCTTCATTTAGTGAATATATCATTGGCATTTTCTATTTTAATGCTGAGCACCTCTGAAATGCTAACAATAACTACCCATTTTTTGAGTAACAGACACCGCACTAGTTAGTTTGCCTACATATTGTCTATCTTCCCAAAAAAGAATACTCCAAAAGTTACGTGTTACTGTTCTCTTTTTATCATTGAGGAGACAGGCTCAAAGAATCTAAGGCATCTGGGAATTCCTGGCAGACAGCAGATGCAGATCCATGCTGGTCCCGATTTTCAACCTGAGTCCTCTCTCCCTCACTGACCTAACACTAGGAGAAGGCTTCTCCTTAGAGGAGAAAGTGGAAAGTAGCTAACCAACCATCTACTGTAGGATATAGAAAATATATCTTGACTCAAACATGGCATCCCATGCATTCTCCTACTCTTTCCTGAGGTATTAACTTGTTAGGCTGCCATCATTTTCAAGTACATGATGATGTGCTTATAATCAACGGAACTTTACGTACACACCTAATGCCTGAGCTCTAAGCCGTCAGTCAGGAGACGTGGCGGGGCTGCTTACCTGTTCCGATAACTTCTGTCCATTGAGGTGAGCCTGCATCACGGCGTCGTTGACGAGCACGTGGAAGTTCAGGAGCACGTGTTCGATGTCGTATGTTCCGTGCATGGCGTCTGATAGTTCCTCCAAGGACCGGATGTAGGCACGCCAGTGTGGATTCAGCTCTGCCGTGTGTGCCAGGCAGCCTCTCGCGACGTTGAGGCAGTACCCCATGCAAGGTTTACTGAGAGTCAGGCCCTGGCAGAGAGGGCAGTACTGCATCCTCAGGAGGGCTCTGCTGCACTCTTTGGAGACGTGCAGATGGTCTGTGGTATTGATGACTTCGATGCCCAGATTCAGCGCCTGCAGAAACGTGCGGCTAGGAAGCAGTGACCTCCCCATCTGCCCCATTACTCTTTTGGGAATATTACCAAATGGACTAACATCCCGGCGGGCCGTCCGGATGCATTCTGAGTATTCCAGGGAACTGTCCGTCACGCCAGGACTAATGAGGTGATTGTAGACGAGAGGGAAAAGACTGTCAAAGAATCTGTTTATGAACTCTTCAGGATTAACATCTGCACCAAATAAATAGAGCCCCACATCAGTGAACAACTCCTGAACTGAGGCTGAAGCCTCTAGGGCCATGTTCCTGTAGGTGTTGCAGAAGAGAATGCTGGTGTAATTCTCTGCTTGTCTGATGAGAGTTTCGAGGGCTTCTGTAACAAAAGCAGAGGTAAAACACGAAAAGGCGGCTTAGTATTCATGTTAAAACTGGGCGTCTGTCTGCTCCAGACAGTAAATGAGCTTAATGCATCCTACCCAACCTAAGGATCCAAATGGGAATGCTCGGCCTACTACCCCACTTTAGCTTTCCAAGGATAATGGCTGGTCAACGGTGGGCATTAACTTTTCTAAGATGCATTTCCTAGAGTCAAACATCTTTAGAAAGTATAGAGATAAGAAAGAAGTTATGATATGGTAATTCCCTGCTTATTTTGTTGCACAGTCAGCCATAACCCACCAAAGACAGAAGGAAAGTGTCACTGAGAAGACAATTTCCAACCGTGGGTTCACTGTTGATAAAAGACTGGCATTAGATGCTTGATTCAACACCTACTGTATTTTTACAGTTTTTCAATGTCTTTTTTTTCCAGAATGAAAGCTAGTAGATTATACACTAGTTACTGTAAAGAGAAGCTATACACCCACAGGGAAGGCTGATAACCCTCAGACCCCCTAGCATGTTCAAATTAAAAAGAAAGTAAACTATTTCATCGTTAAACAATGCCTTGACTGGCAAACCCTGTTAAGTGGTAGGAAAGTCGTGAGTTGTATTAGTCGATGACAGTAATTGTGTGACCATCTTCTGAACCATATTCTGTTGTTCTTATCACCTTATCACCCAAACACTTTATTGTGGGACATTTTATTTTCTCACTTAGGGAACTGATGCTTCCAAATCAATTTCTCCGTAGAAATAACAGAGCATGATTTATCCACAAATTAAGGAAGGCTGCAGTAATTGGCTGGCAAAAGTTATATTTCAAAACGATAGCTTTAGGCAGCAGTTGAACACCTTGGATATTCTAGTAATTACATTTTATAATTAGCCTAATTATAATAAATAATGATGCTGGACTGTTATCAATACATAATTAATTGTAAAATACATCAATAAAATTATCTCCCATAACCCCGATCTCATAGTTATTTTTAATTAGGTTGTAAAAGACCACACAGTAATTCAGTAATCAGACCATTGAACATATTATAAAAGGAGATGGAACGACAGGAGAATGAAATGAAATAATAAAAGGCAGAAGTGCAGGGAGAGCTCCTAATAAAGTGGAACTGTGTCCACTTTATTAGTAGTGCATGCATATGCCATGGTGTCCTAAAAACAAACAGCAGCAACAACAAACTGAACCAAACCAAACACCTTTATGAAAAGCACAGACATAAAATACAGTATCGTGTATTCTGATTCTGTTCTGAGACCATTTAATGTTGGGTTTCAAGCTTTAGTGTGATATACGAAGGTGCTTGCTCCAGACTGAATATTTGTTTCCCCCCTAAAATTAATATGTTTGAAATCTAATCTCCAACATGATGGCACTTGGGAGTGAGGCCTTCAGGAGGTGACTAGGTCATGAGGGTGAAGCCCTCGTGAATGGGATTAGCACCTCCATAAAAGAGACTCTGGAGAGTTCCTTGGCCCCTTCTGGATGTGAGGACACAGGGAGATGACCATCCGGGAACCCGGAAGGAGGCCCTCACCAGACAATGAATCTGCCAGCACGAGGATCTTGGACGTCCCAGCCTCTAGAACTATGAGAAATAAATGTTTTTTTTGCTTATATAAGGCACGCAGTATTCTGTGACACCAGCCTGAACTAAAGAAGGACATCTACCCCATCATCAAAGGCAACAGCTTTTATTTATTTTTTTTTTTTTAAGATTTTATCTATTTATTCATGAGAGACAGAGAGAGAGAGGCAGAGGCCAAGGGAGAAGTAGGCTCCCCACGGAGCAGGGAGCCCGATGTGGGACTCGATCCCAGGACCCTGGGATCATGACCTGAGCCGAAGGCAGACACTTAACCAACTGAGCCACCCAGCAACCCAAAGACAACAGCTTTTAAAGGTGGTTGCGACTCTGTGGCAACACAGAGTCCTACACACTCTAACTTACTAAGGAAGCAGGACTCCTCTGTTATCTCTGCATCTCCAGAGCCCACTAGAATGTAAGCCTATCTACTCTACACTCAATAAAAATGTGAGTGAATGAAGGCTTCAAGTGAGATCACCTGATCGCCCAGGCTGGGTAAGGAAAATTCCAATTGCCAGGTCTATGCACTGGGGTTTGCAACTCGGTGGGTCTGTTTTGGTTCACGAGTCTGCATTTAACCAGCAGCTTCCTTGATTGTTTCAACCTAGCCAGTTTTTGAATAATTGCACTTGCAGATAATCTATAAAATGTTCTCTCCGCGTTTATACAGCAGCTCAACAAGCATTCCACCATACAGCCTGACCCCACAGCTGCAATCTCAGCCTCAGCACTCTGCTTTCAAAGACCCGCAAGAGTGAGTATGAAAAGTGAGTTAAACCTGTAGTTGGAACTAAAACAAAACTGCTAAGCTTATATTTTTCTCATTAATATAGGCTTGTGTCTCTCAGCAAATTGCGTGTGGCCAAGAATTACGAGGTAGGTTGCAAATGAGATTATTTGCCAGTGATGGTTAAATAGCAATGTTTGCAATTTTTTTAAGATAAAATAAGGATAGATTTAAAGATACCAATACCACAGGCACGCTTACATACTTCCCACCAGTTTTTCTAAGGTGTGTGCTGTAGACGTGATTGTGACTGATACCCGCCATAGGATTCTCGGTGCAATAAACGTTTAATGCTACCCCAGGAAATACGAACGCTCCATCTGATTTCTGCCAACTCTAAGTGATGTTCAAACACAACTTTTTAAAGTAAAAAATAAAATGTTTCTTTATAAATTCCAGTCCCAATAATTTACAACTTCTAATGATTCAGGAATATATGGGATTTATCTTTTCAGCTGCTGTAACAAATAGGTTTTGCAAATTTATTCTGTGAAAGCAATATTGAAAAGAAGATATTTAATGTTTAGGATTTTTACTTTTATTTTATTTCAGACTAGTTTTCCTCTGATCTTTTAAACAAAATAACTGCAAAGTATATAAAAATGTTAGGAATCCTATTAGAGTAACATTTTAAAACTTGTCTCTAATGTTGTAAATATTATAATTTTAGTTTTCATGACTATGTATTGTTTTTGCTAACCTCTGAATAAGAGATGACATGTGTCCAAATACCAACATTCTGACTATCTCCTGAATATTTAAACACAAAATGGATTTTTAAAATGGACTATTCTGTAGTAGTTTTTCAGTATGCTATTAACTTATTGCAATATAAAGATTTTTTTTCAATCTGTGTTAAATCTGATATTGACACATTCCAGTTAGTTGAATTACCTAAATATGTATTGGTATTTTTGAATGTGTGTTTTTGTGATCCTAAACATTTCTTAAATCTGATGACGAAAACAGTAAATAACTGTTCTATACACATTTGAATCTTTAAGGATTAGGGGTAAACATACTTTTGTGAATTTTTGATCCTAATATAAAATGTTAATATATAAATACATCAGAAACTGAACAGTCTAGAAGCCAATCCACTGGATGATTTTGTTAAATTTTTTTTAAAGAAAAGTTGGCAAAATCAGAAGTTGAATTTACTAAAATTAGCTGTTTGTATTAACTCTGAATTTGCAAACTCATCACTTCATTCTCCTATGTTTTCCATAGTTGAGTGTTTCCATTTTATGGAATTAGTATTATGATTTTAACAAGAATTTAAACTTGTCAAAAGAACTGTCAAATAAATAAATGATTTTGCTGTTATGCAAAAGAATAATCCACATACAAAATCAGTATTCATAAATCCAAGGTAGGGTAGATGCTAAATAATTCATCACGTCTACTTCCTTATTAAAGAGAAACCATACTGTCCTTTCATTACAAAGTTTTAATAAGTAAAAAATAGCCCTCACCTAAGCTATACAAATAATAGTGTTCTGTTGATGTGCCTAAAATTATAACACCTATTGAAAATAAATAAACATTTGCTAGGCTTGCTTAAGGAAGTTAAGAAACAGACTAGGAAAAAAAATCATCTGTTGCTTTTCGTTGAGAATTTCAATAAGCTCTTCTTTCCAGTGCTATCAGATCAAGTCTACCAAGGCAGGAAACTTCCAACTTTCCTTTTAATGCCTAGGAGTGGTAGGTTGAGTAAGAAACTGTTATCTAATTACTGATTGAATAAAAAACATAATTTCCCCCAGCTTTACGAGAGAATTAATTTATGTATCATCTCATTAAGTAAAAAATGAAGTTGGAATACATGAAGTTGATCTGCATCCACTTCAATTTTCAACATTAACATCCTGTGAAAATTTAATAACAAAATACCTATGACTGGAAACTTGTATCAACTGTTTTCAGCCCACATTCCCTTTAGAGACATTTTACAGTACATACAAATGGTTACTGACACTTAAACTGAGGATTTAAACTTAAATACAACTGGTGGAGATAAAACAAGGTGATACTGATTTAAAATTAAATTTGACAAATTGCAACATCAGTGAAGACTTATATGCAGGTAGCTTTTCACAATGGGAGAAACAATATTTATGGGGCCTTTACTGCTTTAAAGATAAAGATGATTTCAAAATCTAATGATCATGAAATAACTGTTATAATAACCTCCCCTGCATGACATGAACATTTTATGACCCTTTTCATATTTTTATTATTTTTGATATATGGACATTTTAAGATACAAAGTTCGAAGTATCTATTACAATTTAAGACCCCAGATATTCTCAAACATAGCAATGAAATAGATGAAGAAAGATTAAATCATATCAACTGTGGATAATCACATGATTTTACAATGTGTACCTGGGTTGGAGAGAAATTTTCAGAGGAAATTTACATATTTGTGCCTTATGATTCTTAAGTCACAAATGTTGTTACTACCACAGATAATTCCTCAATACCCTGCTACTTCAGAGCTAGTTTGTATCAGAAATTATCTTTTCCTCTGTATTAATTATCAATATATGAGTAGATAGGTAGAGACAGGTAGATCATTTCAAGAACAATTTCTCAACC